CTTTCAAACTTCTTATTTGTGCAGGGTGTCATAAGCTGGGCCATAAGGTCCGGTCGAAGAATATGAAGTAGTCTTATCAAAAGTGAGATTTAAGAAAGGATGACATGGAATCACTGTCCATGGTTGCCACATTCCAAAGTATGTGTAAGCCGCTACGAAGATTTATCAGCGTTTTAATTAATGGGATCCTAACGAAACTGCAATTCGACCCGGCCTCGGACATTACGAATTTTTCCAGAACTCATGAAATTACAAAAGGAGGCCAGAGATGGCGGTCTCGCAAAGTTGCTCACAATGAATCTGGTGGTTTGCTGAAATTGGCTGGCGAAGTTACTTGCAAGGTTGCATTCGAAGTTGTGGAAGCGTCTGGAACGTGCTATAGTTCAGACCGAACGAATTTGAATATTATTTGTCTTTACTGGACGGAAAAATTGCGACTCCTTGATGCCCCTTTGGATATGATCTGCAATCGAGTCCGAGTAAGTCCAGACCCATCAGCAAAGTCCGTTTAGGACATGCCAAGTTTGCTGAAGCGAAAATTTGCTTCTGTCTTTCATGACGGCTTGGGCCATTGTATGAAATTCAAGACAACGCTGAGCTTGCGACCAGGAGCTAAGCCAGTCTTTAAAGCTAGTAAGCCGGCACCATATGCAGATATGTCAACCTTTGCTCAAATACTCGATCGACTGGAACGAGCAGGAGTCATCATAGCCGTCAACTACTCATCATGGGACGCATCTACAGTCATAGTAAAAACAGCAAATGGCAAGATACACGTCTGCGCTGACTTCTCAGCTGTACTTACTGCCTCGTCGGACAACCACCATTACCCATTACCCGTACCGGAAAATATCTTTGCAAAACTAAATGGTGGTAAGTGCTCTACTAAGCTTTATCTGTCCGCTACCTACCTTCAAGTGGATGTTGCCCAAGACTAGAGGGAGTTTTTGACGATCAACACCCATCGTGGGCTATTCCGATACAACCGCTTGCCCTTTGGTGTGAAAACGGCGCCAGCCATTTTCAACAGGGGATGGATACCAGGCTAGCGGGCGTTTCTGGAACCGCTGTATATCTGAATGATATCATAGTGACGGGTCGAAGACCGGAAGAGCTACTTAGCCGGCTGGATGAAGTGCATGGTTTATATTGTCTTACGGTTTCCGGATCAGTAAGGATAAATGCACATGTATCAGGCCAATCAGTAAATACCTCGACTGTATCTTTGAAAAGAATGGACGTCGACCAGATACGGTACAAGTAGAAGCCATAAGAAATATGCCTCAAAAGACAGATCTACAGTCCATGTGTTCCATTTTTGGGCTTATCATCCACTGCAGTGCATTCTTGCCTGGGATGGACCGCCTGCGTTCCCCGCTAAACAATCTACTAGGCAAAGGACAAACTTGGATGTGAACATCAGAATATCAGAATTCCTTCAAACGGGTCAAGACTTTGCTGCTCTCAAACTTGGTTTTGACTCATTTTGATCCTGCCAAAGGGATTGTCCTAGCTACTGATTCATTAAGCCATGGGATTGACGCAGTCATTTCACACACGTACTCCGATGGGTCTCAGAAAGCAATCGCCCATGCCGCCAGAACACTTACGAAAGTCGAGAGAAATTATGGCCAACTCGGGAAAGAAGCATTGACTATAGTGTACTCGGTCAATAAATTCCACAAAATGCTGTACGGCCGTCGCTTCAAGCTTATAACCCATCACAAGCCCTGTTAGCTATCTTTGGTTCGAAAATGAGCATCCCGGCCTACACAGCCAACCGGCTGTATATATATATATATATATATATATATATATATATATATATATATATATATATATATATATATATATATATACATATATATATATATATATATATATGGTTGGCGCAACCAATTTCGGATTTGCCTGTCACTGTGGCCACCCACAGGACGCCTGCGTCTACAGAGCGACCATGGTTGGCTTGCGCTGCACCACCCGCAGCTCCAACCACACACCCCAATCCAGTTTAAACCCGAAGGAATAAAACAAAAAGATATGTGGGTGGGAGACACGTTGCATCAATGGAGCCGACCCACGCTCCTTCACAGACAAACACAATCACGCTGTAGGTGGGGAAGTAAACGTAAACAAGGCGGCGGCTGGACCGTGGTCTGCTTCATACCGAGTGCATGGAACCACTCTTTGGTCCTAACACGGCAACAAGGACCGTGCACCCAGTCCCTTCCAGCAACGACGAAGTGTCTCCTCGAGCTAGTATGGACGAGGTAATGGGTAATAGACAGTTAGACACCTTTCAACGTGCACATCAAGCGCAGCCACACCGGAAATAGCAAGCAGAAACTCAGTAATTTAAATGAAAAAAATGTAAGAAAATGAATCGGATAGTGATCCAGCTACTTGGCCATAACTCTTTAGTAAATGAGCGTGTAAATATGATTAGGAACGAATCCGCGATAAGTTCAATTGGTCAGAAAACATATTATATGGAAAGCCACAAACGCGAGCAGGTTGTGGAAATTAACTGCAATTATCTTGAGCAACGTGTGCAAGTTTCTAGAAGATAGCACGGGTAGACAATAATATGAGAAAGAAAATGATTAGGACTAACTTGCAAACTCACCACTTGAAATAATTAGACTTAGCATGCAAGCACGCGTTTAGTAAATCGAATGCAGCGTATCTACGAACGTTGCTCCGGTTCTCTCTGCGTTCTCTTCTGGACCTTTCGCCGCTTAGTTGGTGGTCCATTGGGGTCACGCCCAGGGCTCACTAGGCCTGCCTGACTCAGGCAATTGCAACCAAGCGTGCTACAGCACCATGCGCTCCACGTCGATGGAGTACTACTCCTCAGTGCTTGCCGATTCTGCACCTGCCACTTCTTCGCTGCATGCATTAGGACTTTCCCCGCACTTCGGCAGCTGCCTTCGTGAGTAGGTCGCGCCATGCACGTCGATCAACCGCCATCGATTCCCATGACCTACGATATAGGTTAGAACGTGGGGGCTCAGTTTGAACATGTCCTGGTAACGTAACTTTCCCCCACATGCCGTTTCCCAACAATCAACTGACCATTTACTAGTTGGTTCGGTATCCGTGTTGGATCCATACGACTCACATGACCAAGCCATCTAAGGTGTCTCAGGAATAGCATGCAGTCCACTTCATACATTCCGCTTCGAAGCAACCCTCTTGTGTCGGCTACTGTTCCGCTACATCCGATGAGCAGAAATCGCCACGAACGCGGCTGATGGAAGCGCTCGAGATATCGCACATCCTGCCAGTACATCGTCCAAGTTTCACTGCCGTATAGAAGAACGGGCTTCACCAATGATTTGTGCACCATCAGCTTCGTGCCAATGGCCAACTGTTGGTTGTTCCACACTCAGTACTCTACATTCCCGCATGCTGCCGCTGCATTTGACATGCGGATACGCAGCTCACTCTGTGGCTGCTGGTCCGTTGACAACACACTCCCATGGGAGCAGAAGCGGAGGCGGGTTTCCAATACTTCAGCACCAATGCTGGTTCGCGGCAATCTTGAAGATTGCACCTCCGGTGAAGGCTGAAAGAGACGGACAGTTTTGCTTGTGTTGATGGTGAGCATGAATTTGGCCGCTGTCTTAGCCAGAACATTAGCCATGTGCTGCAACTTCTCCGCGCTGTGTGCAGACGACGCTTAGTCGTCAGGAAACAGTAACATGGGGATAGTGGTCTCACGGACTAGAGTTCTCGAAACCGGAATGCCGAATGTTCAACAACCCACCATCAATACGGGGCTCCACACGAACACCGTAAGCACAAGCCGATTCAAAAGCACAACACATCATGGCAAGAAGATATGTATTAAACAGGGCAGGAGCTAAGACACAGCCTTGCTTCACACCAGAGACAACTGCAAAGTCATCTGAGGTCTCTCCACTCAGCTGCACCCTAGTTCGCATACCACTGCGCAGACATTAAGCTAAACTTACAAACTTACTCGAGCAACCAACCTTACCCAACACCGGCCACAATGCCTCGCGGTTCACCGTATCAAATGCCTTGGTGAAATCAACAAAAAGCGAGTACAATGGCTGATGTCGTTCGCTACACGTCTCCTGCAACTGGCGACCCGCAAGACCCATATCTATTGCGCTGCGCCCCGATCGGAATCCACACTGCACCTCCGTCACGTTTGGCTCCACAACCTGACTGCGGGGTAAGTGAGCAGGATTCGGATGACCAACTTGCCCAAACAACTCAGCAAGCTGATGCCACGATGCTTCGTGCAACTTTGCTTGCTCCCTTTGTCCTTGTACAGTGTCACGAGGGCATCCTTCGGTGCATGATTCATTTCACCCTCCATCCACGCGCCTTGCACCAAGTGGTGTAGCGTAGTCTCCAACGCGGAACCGCCTTGTTTCAATAGTTCAGGCGGGATCCTGTCGGCACCTGCACACTTGCTGGTTCGCAGCTGAGCAAGCGCTCTCTGCGTCTCAGCCCCTGTCGGCGTGTCTGTCATGCCCGCCTTCACATCCTACCGCTTAAGGCCCCCTGTCAGCGAAGGCCAGTCGACCTCCGAACGGTTGTTCAAGGATCAGTCAAAGTGATTTTGCCCGATGTGCATTATGTCTTCAGTCTCTATGCAGGTAGCTTCTAACTATCGGCGTTCAGCGTCCTCAGCAGCACCAACTTTTTTTACATACAAGGCCCTCAGGAGTCGGAACGCGGAATTCCTCGCGTGATTAGGGCAAAGTAAGTTTCGTAAAGCCAAACAAAAAAAAAAGAAGAAAAAGAAGAAGAAAAACATAAAATATAAACAACAAAAAA